GCCTCTGCAGACTCGGGAGCTCAGCATCCTCTAGGGAGAGAGCCATGTCTGCCCACAGCAGAGCCTGGATCTCAGTGCCCTCACCTCGATAGCCAGTGGGGTGAGCGGGCAATAAGTTAAAACAAACCAGTGCTACAGAAGATCCAGACCCAGCCCGACGCGGGGGCTGGGGTCACATCACAGGAAGCTGCGTCCTGCCCAGGGAGCATGAACCTCCCAGCAAAGAAAACCACAAACAACCACAGCGCACAGCCTCTGCAGCCACAGGGCGTCCGAGTTAGGAGTTGGAAACAGAAAGAAAGGCCTAGTGCCTTCAGGAAGAGGAGAGGCCTGCTGGGCCTGAATGCTCACCAGTGACCGCATGCTCACGACAGGAGTCGCCTGGCTAGCCCTGCTGAGTCCACCCTGGGAAGCAGAACAGCACAGAGAGGCTGCTCTTAGCTCTGTGTGGCCTGGAGCCCCTGAGGGATGGCGGGTCCCAAGTGTGGAGACCCACGCTCTGGCTGTGTGGATGCTGCTTACAGGGATATGCAGTTGAGAGAATCATGGGGCTGTGTGCTCAGGGTATCATTTTTCTGTACACATATCTCAATGAAAAGTAAGAAAAGCTCAACCCATTCACAAGGCTGACTGACTCATGGGCTAAAGAAGGAGTCTTGGTGGAAATAACTGCTATGTGGCAAAGCTCACAGGATGCAGCAAAACTCGTTGAGGGAAATTCACAGCCTTGTGTTGTCCACACGGATGTTGCGGAGAGGAACTGAAAATGGGTGAGCAGGGTCCAGGTTAGAAAAGGAACAGACCCCAAACTCAAAACAAGTAAAGGGAGACAGAGTGATCCACATACAAGAGTGTGCAGACCCTGAACAGACCAGAAAGCAATGCCGTGCGGCCGACAGGAGGGGGACGTGCAGGTGCAGACTGGCGCTCTGGGGCCAGGTGGCAGCCTGAGGACCCCTGGCTACAGGAGGGTATCACTTGCAGCCAACCCTTCTACCTGAGCCCACTGTCATCTGCTGAAATTGGCCAGAAAGCCCACTCAGAAGAGCACAGACCAGGTTAGTCCTGGGGCTGTTAATAATCGACTGTGACGATGAACATTTCTGCCGGGAGACAGCGAGCTTTGCTGGGCTGTCAAGGACACATCATCCCATTCTTAGGCAGGCAGGGAAAACAGGGCTGCACAGACAGGCCTCGGGCCCTCCCGGGGCCCACAGAGCGTGCAGGGGGTTCACAGAGCACACTCCTGAGCCCAGCTCCACTGCAGGTAGGAGGGAGGACACCCGGCCAGCTGCCTTTTCCTGGGTGGGAAAGAGCAATTTAATACCAGGAAGTAAACAGGTAAAGTCAATCTTTTTTTTTTTTTGTACTGAGGATTGAACTCAGGGGCACTCGACCACTGAGCCACATCCCCAGCCCTATTCTGTATTTTATTTAGCATCTCACTGAGTTGCTTAGGGCAATGCTGAATGAATTGCTGAGGTTGGCCTTGAACTTGCAGTCCTCCTGCCTCAGCTGCCGGGCTCTGGGATCACAGGAGTGCGCCCCTGTGCCTGGCTGGTAAAGTCAATCTGGAGGACAGCGAAGGAACGCCTCACAGAGGCGCGACGGCACTGGTGATCAACGTGATCGGTGCAGCGGGCCCGTGTCTTCGGGGAGGGTGGGGCGCAGTGTTGGGGCGCACAGGGCAGTCCTTCCCCAGACAGGACGAACCCGCTCTGTGCCTCCACCTGGCTCAACACCGTTCCTCACAGCACAGAGTGCCCAAGGAAGGCAGCCCCCAGGGAGTAACCCTGCTGGTTAGGTGGGTGATGTGAGCAGTGAAAGAGAAGAGCTGAGGAGTCTGTCCACTACCAGAAACAACACAAGAGTTTGCAGATGGGTGGATTCAAAGCTGGGACTGTACAGCGACCTGTCCTTCTGTAGACTAGCAACAAGCAGGAGAAACTGCTACTAAAACACCACGCCCACGCCAGCGGAGCGGAGTCCAAAGTCCCCCTGGGATAAAGTGCGGGAGCAGCACCACTCTGCAGGCACAGCCCTCCTGGCACAGGGCTTGCTGAGCACTGGGGATCTAGAGGCCAGTTCTGGCGCAGGGATGGACCTGGGGCGCCACAGGACGGAGTCTGCTCCCGTGGCAGGGCCGGTCCACTGACTGCACTGGCAAGTTGCCTGGGATTCGGAAGGAGGAGAGGGGTCCCTGTGTCACACTGGGAAAGAGTGGACGGACTGCTTAGTCTGACTTAGTCACTTAGTGGTGTGCACTTTGGGCAGTGCGTGGCCTGGTACACCGTGAAATGCACAGATTTTGTTTATTAATTGTAGTTGAATAAAAAGCAACAACAGCCTCAGGTAGATTATGTGTGAAGAGGGGCTGGGGTTGTGGCTCAGCGGTACAGTGCTTGCCTAGCCTGTGGGAGGCACTGGGTTCGATTCTCAGCACCACACATAAATAAATGAATAGAATAAAAGCCCATAAACATCTAAAAAATATTGAAAAAGAAAAGATCACGTGTGAAGAACAAAGCTCTGCAGCTCTTGGTGGGAAACATCAGCGGATACCTGCTGGGCCATGGGGTAGAAGCCCTTGGGAGACACATGCTGCAGCAGCGAGGGAGGATGCTTTGCCTGCTGGCCACTTCCCTGCCAGCCCCCCTCTCCCCTTTCCTATCTCCACCTGCAGGGACGTCCCCAGAGGCCACTTGATATGCTCTCAGCAGGAAATGAAATCACAGTCAGGACAAATGGCCCAAGGCCACCCCTCCACACACACTGTCCTCAAGGTTGAAGATGGAGCCCAAAGGCAGCTCCCCTGGGGTCAGCGGGTGCACTCAGGGGCCAGTCTGGAGCCCACTGTAGTGGCCAAGGTGGCCAGGTAACCCCAAAGGTGGCAGGAGCTCGGGGCTCAGTGGGTGGCCCTCCTGAAGCCGTACCTCAAAGGTGTTCCCGGTCAGGTCGAACTCTGGGGGGACAAAGGCACCCTCGGGGTCATCTGGGGAGGAAAAGAAAAGGCGTTGACTCATCACCTGTGAAGGAGCAGGCGGACACCCAATGGCCAGACCCAGCCAGGAGCCTCCGGGCAGTCAGGAGGGCCGCTGGTGCCGGGGTCACGTCCTCCTCTCCACCCACCCCACTGGAGGGTGGTCCAGGCGTTGGGAGAAGCAGTGGTTAAAGAGGACCCTAACCATACTCCAGGGGAAGGAGACAGGGCTCTGTCCCTCTTCCTGAAGGAGCAGAAGTGGCCCAGCAGCTCTGCTCTCCCTGCAACAGTGCAGGGCAACCCGCCCACCTGAGCCAGGTAGCTCATGGACAGGTCCCCTGTGTCCTGTGGCCACTCCCCCCGGCCAATAGGGAGAGGAGGCGCTGGGGTCCCCCCTTGGAGCAGGGCCCCTTGGGGGCTATGGCGGGTGAGTCAGGCTGGCACGGCCCCTACTGGGCTCTCTGGGGGCACGTGTGTCAGCCTGGGGCAGCGGGAGTCCACCAGCCACCCAAGTCCCCTGTGCCTTTCACCCTCTGTGGTACCTCAGGCGGCAAAGGACCCTGGTCTCTGGGTCTGCGCTCCATCCACCTGGCTGTTGGCTCACCCCAAGAGGGTGCCTCTGCCCCGCCATGCCCACCCAGCAGCCTGCCCTGGGCCTCACCGCTGAGCTGCTCCATGAAGCACACGTTCCCACTGGTGTTGAAGGCCAGCGTGTCGGGCGTGATGCACAGAGTCTGGAAGATGGCCGCGTGGGCGACGCTCCGCATGGACAGGCTGCACTCCAGGCACACAGCCCAGGCCTCCTGCTCACTGAGACCGCTGTCCCGCAGGGAGAGGATGTCAGCCAGGGACACGTTCTCCTGCCAAGACAGGCCTCAGTGAGCCCACAGAGGAGCTGCCCCAGGCAGGCCACACGGCCAACATGGAGCAGGGCCCTCAGGACCAGGTGGCTTGCAGCAGTCCTTCACGGGTCGGGAAAGGAGTTTCAGACAGGACTTTCCATTTATGATCATTTCTTATGAGACGGAGTCTCAGGATTTCCCAGGCTGGTCTTGCGCTCCTGGGTGCAGCTGCTCCTGAGTGCTGAGCCCGTAGCAGGGCCCCCACATCCCGCTCTAGCCTCTCTTTTTTATATACCTTTATTTTATTTATGTACTTATATGTGGTGCCTCACACATGCCAGGTAAGTGCAGTACTGCTGAGCCCCAGCCCCAGCCCCCACCCCCCGCTCTAGCCTCTTAAAATTTACCTGTTTATTTATTTGTGGTGCTGGAACCCAGGAGCTTGTGCTTCCTTGTCCCACCCAAGCCCTCCCCACTGAACCACACTCCCCTCTTGGCCTGGTCTTTTTTTAAAAAGACTCATCCCACTGTTCTCTGGCAGCCGAAACTCTGATCCTTTGGCGAACCCCAGCACGTGGCCTGAAGCAGGTGTCTGCTTGTGCAGCGCTGGAACGAGGCTGTGCTCCCGGGAGGCTGGTTAGAGCCTGTGAGCTTGTGCCCAGCCGGCCACCTGCTCAGGGACAGCCTGGCTTGGCAGGCTCACAGCTTGGCCAGCACACGGAACTGTGCACAGGCTGAGCCATGGGACCGTGGAGGTAGTCGATGCCTACAGGCCATGATCCAGTGTCCAGGGAGCCGCCCAGTGGACGAGGTAGCAAGCCTGCGATATAGCCACATGACATTCAGCCACACCTGCATGACGGGAACATGCGTCCAGACACGAGCTGTGGGCAGTTCACACAGAGGATGCAGCGTGGAGGACCCTGCTCAGCCTCCCCACGCTGAGCCACTGCAGATCCTGCGTAGGCTCCCTGGGACACGATGGCCAGTACCAACACCACAGGCCACAGCTGCCACACACACTCTTGCACACATGAGCCCACATGTCCCCACCTACCACCTATGCACATGCATGCACGCACATGCACAGGAACACTCATTCACTCATGCAGTAATATATGCCCACATACATCCACACACATCGCACATGCTTACGTATACACAGCTACACATACACGTCCCCACCCTCAGTCACACAGTTACACAATAAATACCATACCAGCCACGCCACACACTGACTCACACCCACCCACCAGACACCTGGACTCCAAGGCTCTGTCCTGGTCAGTGCTCCTCGCCGGCCACCCCCTGTGTTCGTGTTGGTGCACTGCCCCACCTACAGGAGGTGGTGGGAGGTTCTGAGGGAGCCGGGCTGTGGCGCGGGTCCAGCCAGGGTGTGGGCACCTTGGAGGGACGCAGGTGGGGGAGGAGGCAGAGCCTCAGCCCTGGCCGCAGCTCCACCAGGAGCTCAGGTCCTGTGCCTGTGTCCAGGTGGCTGGCACAGGATCCCCGTAACCAGAGGTGAGGGGGCCAAGGGCTCCGCAGTGGGGCCTGGGTCTGCCCGTCCATTTCCCTCTGGAGTCCAGGGAGGGGCTTGTGTGGCCCTTCCCCAGACCTTCCAGCTCATTCTGTGTGGAGATGCTGACTGCTTGCTTCTGGCTGAATGTCCCCAAAGGCCCCTGTGTCGAAGGCTTAGTCCCCATGCAACAGTGTTCAAGGTGGTGGCCCTTGAAGGCCTCGACTCCATCAGTGGGCGAACCCCTTGGTGGATTCATAATCTGAATGGACTATTGGGAGGCGCTGGGAACCTTAGCGGGCAGGGTTGGCTGGAGGAGGTGGGTCACGGAGGGCATGGCCTTGGACCACGTCAGGTCCTCCCTGACTGCCATGAGCCGAGTGGCCTTCCGCCGCCAGGCCCTTCCTTCCACCATGACGCTCTGCCTCACCTCAGGCCCTTC